TTTTACAAAAGAGCAAATTGTACCTGAATTTTTCATATGATTGCCTAATTCATTCTTCACGAACACGTTACCTTGCCATGTGACCTTTATGAAAAAATGCGTCGCTTCAAAGTTTTGAATATCTAACCAAATCGATAATTAAATTTTACCTTTGTAAAGTTGGCGACGTCACATGTGAGACGCATGTGATTGTATAACTATAATGAAGTAGTGAGGACACTACTTTAACAATAGATTGAGAGCTAATATTGCAAATTTCCCTTTTATATATCCAGTCGAGTTTTGTTCCAAGAATTGTAGTTAAATATTTCAAAAGAATAGCCCACAAAATAGAAAATCTATCACTTTGAGACATAAGTCTTCCATCCTCCTATTTACAGCCGAAAACGACCAAAATATTTCCCCTATCTATAGATAGACTCAGCGACCGCTCGGATTTCATTATAATATCTTTATAATTTGAAATTAAAGCCAAATACTACTTTTAAATTTTAATAAGTGACTTATTTCTAATTTTTGACAATAAATTTTTTTTTTATATATAATTTAAGTGAAAAATTTAAGCTTATCTACACATGCACTTAAACAGTAATTGACTTTTTCTTTCCTTAAAATTCTTAACTTAATTTTGTAATTTTGATTGCCCTCCAATATTACGTCTATTATTTCCATTACTTCTTCCCCCATCTTCCGAAAGAGATCTCGACTAAGAGGTATGTAAAAAAGTAATCATTCTTTAAAAAAAAAAAAAATTTATTCCAATGTATTTATGGGTTTATTCTCATTATTTATAGTTTTTACGAATTATTGCAATTTGTGATTTTCTCGCATATTATTGTCATAAATATGTAATACTTGTGAACCCGTGATTTGGAGGTGCCAAGTTATGGATGGAATTAGGGTTTTTTTGATCGGGGATATGGGACTCTTACGCTAAAAATAAAATTGGGATTTAAGTTCTAATTTACATCAAGTATTTAGGTCGAGTAGAAATCTTGAATATAGTTATCTTGAAAAATAAATTTTTTTAATTGGAATTTTTTATCAAAAAAAATAAATAAATAAATAAATTGTAAGACGAATCTTGAACCTGTGCAACTTGTGAATCTGTCATTTGGATATTCCAAATATTAAGATGGAAACAGGATTTGAGTACAACCCTACCATCAATTATCTCGAATATTGAATTTTAAATTGGGATAGGAAAGCTCTCGTTTAAAAAAAAAAGGTGTAAGATTCATGTGTGTTTGGTTTCCTTACACGCTTCTATTTGATAAATTTATAAATTGTTTAAAACTTCATTTTTTAGTCATACATTTCAATAAATTCGCAAATATTGTTCACTTATACACACTGTTTATAAATTATTCCCAAACAAACGCTAAGTAATATATAATTTTCGATAAATACGTAATTTTAACCGTAAATTCATAACGCTTACCAACTTATTATCTAGACATTTCGTAGGATCAATACTCTCGTTATAATCTCTTTATAAGTTAGAGTATTTGGGTTTCATTATAATGTCCTTGTAAGGAGATTGAGGAGTAATAATGTGGAGTAATACCACAAAATGTGTCGAATAATAAGTGGATAGTTGTTGTAAGTATGAGATTAAAATTAAAGTTTGACGGAAATAAGTAACTCATAATATTTCCCAAATATACTAGTCTTACACGTGCCTTGTAATCTTTCTTTTCCCTTCATGAGTTGGCCTTTTACTTCTCCTTTGGCTTTGATTAGGTTCAATGAAGAACAAATCTTTGGGGAATAAGAGAACGAGTGTTGTAAAGCTGCTCCTTGTGCTCGCACTCATGGCAGTCTTGTGCACCTCAGTGGCGGCTCTAGGTGGTGGCGGTGGTAGGGGTGGCGGTGGTGGAGGTAGAGGTGGAGGAGGAGAAAGAGGAGGAGGTGGAGGGAGACCAAGATATGGATGGTATGGCGGTGGACATGGGGGGAACCGCTCAAGTGCTTTATCTCGTTCCACTTTTGCATGGTATTCAACGAAATCTTGCTCGTTGGATCTTCTCATTTTCGTTTTATTAATATATAACTTATGATCTAGAGGTACTAGTGATTTTAAGAATATTAGTTAGAATCAATCTCTATCTCTTCTACTCTATTGTGCTGGACTTTAGGAATAATTGTCGACATTGACAGATCCAAGAAGAATTCAAGTGAGGTAGGGCGGTTGTTGACCATTGACTATCAACGCAGCAATAACGAGATTATTTATTATTATAAATGAAATAATATTAAAAATTTCTTCAATCAATAATATAGTTGAACTTATCAGCTTATGCACAAACAAATGGATCCATCTAAAATTTTGTGGCTAAACCATCTAAAGAAATTCAAGAGAAGAATCGCACAATTTTACGATTGAACTTCACTTGGCCATCAACATTGTACAACAAAACCATTTTCCTTTTCTTTGTGCATAGGGAAAAAGAGAAAAGAGAAAGAGAAATTCATTTAAACTTCTCTACTTCTAATTCTTCTTTTACGTTTGTAGAGAGAGAAAGTTGAGGGTTTTGATCTCGATATTTAATTTATCTTGTATAAACAAACTATGAAAAATGGTTTCGATACACAAGAAAAAGAAAGAGAGGCTCCCAGTCATAGTCAACAACAACAGGCAGTGGTGGAGAAACGACATCCATGGCAACAGTTCACAAGCGTTAAGCTAGTAGTGGCGTGCTATGAGACAAAGGGAAGCTTAGAATCAGATAGGGTTTGGTAACTTTGGTTTGCTTCTATGGATGGTAACGGTGCAACCTCCCCTGCCCCCGCCAGCAATTTCCCATCCCGTTTCCACCCCATTACCCGTTTAAGGTGGGGCGGGCCTTTGCCCTGCTTAGTACCCCGTTTAATTTTATTTTTTAAGTTTTTGATAATTCATTTTATTGTCCACATTCATTAAAGTGAGATAATAATATATTGTTAAATTTTTAATTTATTTTTAAAAGTTAAATTATTCAAATATATTTGATAAATTAAGGCTTTTATTGTTTGTTATATTTTTTAGATAATTTTAGTTGCCATTTTCTATCAGAACTAATGAAATTTTGTGAAATTTTCCATTTAAAGTATTGAATTCTAAAAAAAAAAAAAATTAAACGCGACGGGACGAGGCAGGGTACCCGTTACCTGTACCCGCCCTGGGGGG